AATAAGCAGGTTTAATCACAGTGTCCCGGGGGTCCACCAATCCTTAATTAAACCTTCTTATTCCTCTACGGCTCTGGTGACTCCGGGGTCCACCAATCCTTTTAAAATTAAACCTACTTATTTCACTACCATGACCCCGGGGTCCACCGACCTTTAAAGAAATCTACTTATTTCACTATGGTGACCCCGGGGTCCACCTGTCCTAAAACCTAGTATTTCGCTAGGTAGACCCTGGGCCCCGGGGTCCACCTTAAACCTGCTTATTTATCACTACGTTGACCCCGGGGTCCACCAATCCTTACTTAAACCAAACCTTATTTCACTACGGTGACTCCAGGGTTCACATCCTAAAACCTAGTATTTTGCTCTGCAGACCCCAGAGTCCACCTATCCTCTACAGGACTAAACTATTATCAATTTGCAATTTTCATTGATTAGCATATTTTAAAAAAAATATTGAATCAGAGACTCGGTCTAAAAAGTCTACTGCTAATGCTATTCTTTTCAAAGAAAATAGCACAATTTGATTTTATGACATGTTGAAAAAAAGAGTTTTAAAAATATCCCGAAAACAACATAAAATGATTATATAGATCTCTCTCTCTCTCTCTCTCTCTATATATATATACATATATATATATATATATGTGTGTGTGTGTGTATTTTATTATGTATACTAAAAGACTGAGCAGAGGCTTACAATGTAAATTCTGAGCTCTACAAGTAGAGAAAATATTAAGTTTGCGCAAAACAGATTTTTGAAAAAAAAGTTGGATCTAATTATTCTAATACAAGTAAAAGTGATTGTTATGCTGAGATTTGTTATTATTGACTCTGGAAATACAGTTACTTGCTGAATCTAAAAGTAACTAGAACTGTGCAATTCGTTTTATTTCAATTCCAAAGCCCAAAGGCATAGCAATAATAAGTTAGATCTAGATCTAGCAGTTGTAGGCTCTCTGGCTGCTTCTAGCATAGGCCCGCTACTACTGATTCTAGACAGGGAATCTAGATCTTGCTATCGCCTGCACTATTAAAGTCAAATATATGGTAAAATAAAAACAAAACTGAATTTTTTTCAGTCAGTACATCCCAATTGCCATAGCCGCACGTATTAATAGTTGAATAATGCGATACCGCAGCAACACGTTATCACAGTATGCAGGGGAGAGCGAGGTGCCCGGTCGATTCGGTGGTTCGGCTTTTGTAGATCTATGCATTTTTTACGGAAAGCCCTATTACCTAACCCTCTTACTAGATCTGTTAGTGTTGTGAAAACTTTAACCTCTACAGCTCAGGCGTCAAAAGATGCTGGAAAATAATAATACGTCCTGAAGTTTCATAATTTATTTTTATACAGAATAACACAGTACACAGCCAGTAGTTTTTATTTCATCGAGTTATAAAAATGGCCTTCGTATAAAAATTGCCTTGTTTTCAGAAGCAAATTTTAATAGTTAAAGTTCTACCGAATCGATTTTCACGCGAATTCAACCATTTTGATGATCTTTCTTTTCCTTTTAAAAAGATGTAGATCTAGGCCTGTCGGATGTGGCAGTGCGAATAACACTGAGTTGTTTAGATCTAGACCCATCAAAACACGAGGCTTCGTGGCCGATCACAAAAGTCTACGTGGCTTATCGAGGCCGATTCGCTCTGCCGCGAGCACGTTCACTAAACTGCCTACTAGATAGAATCTACTACCAAATATTCTCTACACGATCTTTGCTACTACTACTACTAGCCTACATGTACTACTACGAGACAGTACGAGAGAGTGTCACTCAGGCAAAGATAGTGTAACTTTGACTCAGCCACGTAGTGTACACTCTTTTTATACCCCAAATTTAACCCGGAAGTCCATTCGGAGGATTTGACCTTTTCACTTGACCAAAGTGTGCCAAAATGGTAGCCTAGCTTTTGCCCCTCCATGAAGGAAAAATCTGGCCCTCATTCAAACCATTGGGATTGAGCAAAATTTTGCGTATTGTGCTTTGTTCTTTACAATATATTCATTATGGTTATGATTTATAAGTTGTACACTGAGACAAAACCGTACTAAATGAGAAAGGTGCACCATTATGAAAGTGGAACGAACTCAGTTGCCTGAAAAGGGTAGTTTGAGCATGTGTGGCCTAAATAAGCTAAACCCCCCTCCCTTACCTTATTTAGGCCATATGTGGCCTAAATAAGCACTCCCTATATATATATATATAATACTTCCGACTCCACCAGGTCGGTGAATTATGGCAAAAGCTACAGACCAATGAACTTTTTTTTTTAGTATATGATGATGATTAACAGCTCTAGCTAAGGTGCTTTGGATTTCATATTCAGAAAAGCGATTGGTAAACATTTTTATCGAGGCTTGCGTTTTCTAATTTACTTTAAAACATGGACCCCCGGCTGTGTGTGTCATTTTTAAATCATTTATCAGTTAAGCAGTGCTTGGAAGATAGCTACTCAAAAGCACATTTGCACTGAAAATCCTTTGCAACTTCAACTGTCCAGCTGTACACTTCCATTTGAAACAAATCTCCAGTGATATTCTACCTGTAGGCAAAACAATGAGTTGGAATACAACTCTGTCCTCACACAGAGGTTATTTGTGGCTGTTACAAAGAGAGTTCCCATGTTTTGACAGGAGCTTCACGATTAACATAGGTCTATAGTTATCAAGAAGATTAAAGTAATGGAGGATGCTCTGTGGGCGGCACCGCACGCCTGATAGGAGCCCTCTCTCGCGGCGGAACCGTGGGCTACCTGCGCTGCGCGATTGCCAGACTAAGGCACTGAAATCTAGATAAGAAAGGTTTTATTCCGAGGTCCTTCAGATTAGGCAAGTCAATTAGTAAAAATGCCTTGCACCTGTGTTGTATTTAAGTGTAAGAACCGATGATGCTGCAGTGGACCGCAGTTTTCACAGTTAAGTTGTTTCCCTTTTAACAAATTTGAATGAAAGTGTTTCTATGCCCCCAGCAACACAATTTAAATCATTAATATTCATAAGAGGCTGGCTCCGGCGCTACATGCCAAGGCCAACCTAGGCTGAAAGGGATACAACACCCCAGCGGAAAGACTGAGATACTCAATTTTTTAAAAGTTTTCTTATTCATAAATATATATATAGTCCGTGCCGGCTAAAAGCACGTTTCGGACTTAAGCACGCTAAACGGCTCTTACCGAATTTTTGCTATATAAATTACACGCCTTTAAGCACGGTAAATTCGGCTTTAGGCACGCTTCATTACAACAAGACAGTCAATACTTTCACGATGACCCATGGAAATTCGAACAGTCTACACTGCAGCAGTGGAGTGTGTTAAGAGAAACACAGAGAACGCAAGTGATGCCATTGATGGAGACACGCACTCACACGGGCGGAGAGGAAGGCAGAGAGATGCACACAGCCGCATGCGTGGACATAGGATCTAGCCTAGGGCAAAGTTAAATACAGAGTCGGGGAGACAAGAAAGGGCGGCTGGCTGCGATTTCCCCTTTGACCTTCGCTATCCATTAATCCTGATTGTGTATCACGCACGAGGTGGGATGAAGGCGGTGGTATGAATGTGGCACAGTGGGCAGTGGTACGCACAGGCAGCGTGTAGGCCTAGTGTGCTGTATCATGACTGGCCGTCTAAATTGAGATTTCATTTCCCATTCGACCACAAAACGAAAACAAACAAGCTAACAAAAACTACCATGGTGGGTAAAAATACCAGTGCACACTTTTGCGGGACCGCTATAGGCCTACTTACAAACAAAGGGAAATAGCACGGGAAATTTTCTACCTGAAAACCTCTGGATTATGTCTACTTCGCACTCAAGCACACTTCGGATTTAAGCACGCTTATGCTTTCTCCCGATGACCGTGCTTATAGCCGGCATGGACTGTACTATCTCTGACCGTCTATGCCCCTGGCGTTGCGGGCGAGCCGTCATAATCTAAAAACCTGTCGTTGTTAGCTAGTCCTTCCAACTGATCATGTTGCGTAGGCCCCTCCCACTGTTGACCAATAGGTAACAAAATTAATTTTCAGCTGCTGGGGAGGTAAGCGTGTGATCCCTCATAACCCATAAGCCCCGCCCAGAACCGTTACACAAATCGCAAGTGAGATGAGTGGTCACTGTTTTAATTTACCCAGTCTGTAACAAAGTAACAATGGACGTCAGCATGAACTTGTGACAGAGGCGTCGCTTGTTCTCCGAGTGGTAGTACGGGTGTTTGTTTTACCAAAGCACTTGGTCCTCCTTGTCTGACACATTTCGTTTTATTGTCACACGTGCACAAAGCAGCAACAAAAGAAAAAACAGCGAAAACAACAACAACAATGCAACTAACTTCGATTGGGACCTCAGAAAGGAAGGGTTTGTTTTCTCAGAAAGGAATGGTTTGTTTTCTTCATCTTGATCAGTCCTGCCTAAGACAGCCATCTGTCTTATACGGCCACTTTTCTCCTTGACAATGGGTGGCCATCTTACACAGGTTCGACTGTATATCTAAAAAAATTCAAAAGCCACCATGTCCAGCATTGAATTTCCTATTTAAGGTACAACCCTTAACCCAAAATCTGACTTTTGGTAAATCTGAGCACCAAAGGGTGGATGTCAAAAGAGAAGTCCCTACAAGGATTCAGGCAGGCCATTTAGTGTTGGGAAAAGGTAAGACAGAAACAACAAAACGAAAGCAAAGAAGTAGGATTTACCTGTGGTGCCCTACAGCCACCCACAGACTGTTTTGCTTTAATAAGAGTTTTTCGGCGCTCGCAACATCATACGGTCATATGAGCGCCAGAAGATTAGAGGTGGTACAAGAGACTAACAAACATAAAAAAGAAGAAGGGGAGATAAGGACAATAGGATGTTCGATGGGAAAGAAGAAGCAAACCACACCAAAGCACCTGCCAACCACCCACAGACTAATGCACACAATTGCAACGGAAAACAAACACTAACACATGGTGAACCAAACTGTGAACAAATTGAACCAGACTACCATGAATATTTGTCAACTTTTTATTGAGGAACTCCCAATTTGCCCGACCCCATATCTTGCTCACAGCTTTATGCAACCAGGGCAGAGGCAGTGGAGGACTCGCTGTGGAGGAAACAAAGAAATATTCAGTGTATATGGCAGTCAAGCATGATTAAACCATAAAGTTAAGTATTGTTACCACATAGTCTTTTAGTTTTAGTTTTTAGTCGAGGTTTTATGGCGCTCGCAACTGCATACGGTCATACGAGCCCCAGAAGAATAGGTGTCAAGAGAGTAACAAACATAAAAAGGGGGAGAAAAGGACGATAGATGTTTGATAGGAAAGAAGGAGCAAACCAGACTAGAGCACCCGCCAACACACCCCCCCCCCCCCCCATGTCTAATCACAACAACAAAAAATACAAAGAGAGTTGGGGAGAGAAGAAAGGGTGGCTGGCTGCGGTTTCACCTTTGATCCCCGCTATCCATTAATCCTGATTGTGTACCACGCGCGAGGTGGGATGAAGGTGGCGGTAGTGGTATGAATGTGGCACAGCGGGCAGTGGTACGCACAGGCAGTGTGTAGGCCTAGTGTGCGGCATCGTGACTGGCCGTCTAAATTAAGTTTTCATTTCGCATTCGACCACAAAACAAAAACGAACAAACAAAAACTACCACGGCGGGTAAAAATAAGAGTGCACACTTTTGCGGGACCGCTCTTGGCCTTCTTACAAACAAGGAGAAATAGCACGAGAAATTTTCTACTAGAAAATCTCTGGATTATGTCTTTTTTTTTTTAATAGTAGAGGGTTTTACGGCGCTCGCAACAGCATAACGTCATATGAGCACCAAGGGGTGGGTGTCAACAGAGAAGTCTTTACAGGGAATCAGACTTAGACTGCTCACCTCTCTAGCTTCAACAGCACAAGGTCTGCTTCGATTATCAAGGCACCCCTAAATAGCAGGTCACAAGAGAGTGACAAACATACAAAAGTAGTAGAAGGAAATGACAATAGTAAGGATCAGGAAAGAAAAAGCAGCAGTTCCCTGTTCTTAGAGCTGCTATTATACGGAACTCTCCATTCCCTTTACTCACTGGTGGTCTGGGTGAACTAATATTCCAAGTTACAAATTCCTCTCCCGACAAGGGCCAGGTTTTGTCTTAATGACAACGTCTCAAAATATCCTAAACCCACACACAATTATAAAAAAACCATAACAGATATAAGAAATGAAACATCCCATAGCCAGCAACTAATTCTATATTGGGAGGACACGATTTCACCTCCACGTACTGAGTATAAACGTCTCAACTTGCCATTTCACAACACAGGACTGGAAATTACCACCTCTGATAGATTATATCGAACCCTGGGCTGATGATAAACTTCTTCACTTACTATTTCCAAGTGGGAGGGAGGACCTTCTTCCTCTTGTAGTAGCGAGCCAAACGGTGAATTCTGGATTCAACAAGGATCAACCTGTACTTGGCATCTTTATCCTGGAATATTAATAACACATACAAAACTAAGTTACAGTACAGCATATTGATGAAATTACAATGAGCTTAAAAAAAGCAGACAAAAGGAGAAACTAAAAAAAAAAAAGCAGGTTAACTCCATCACTACCACCGTTTGCAGTACTGGACCATCTTTTTCGTAGCTTATTCAATTATCTTTCATTAAGGAATAGAAAAGAAAAAGCAGTAGTTCCCTGTTGAAGTTCAGGCAGTTTATGTGAGTGACATAGATGAATCAGCCCATTTACAAAATTCTATACTGTGAAACAGAACATGGTAATGTCCCCCCTTTGGGAATGGCCTCTAAAGACACTTCAATCAGTAGCACAGCCCCGGGGGTGATTTTTAAAAAAAATTGCCTTTAAAATGGCAGGTGCACAGGGAATAGGGACCCCGAAAATGGCTGGTAGTGAGTGAAGTTAAGACCTACAATCCAACACTCATGGATAAAAATAAAATAAAAATCTATTTCGCCCAACAAGCTATTAACACATATCATGAAGTTTAATTCGCCCCTTCCTTCAAACAAAAGAAGTCATGTGAAAATTGCCCAAAAAAAGTCCCTCTGTGTTGTAAAAGTACACAAAAAGACAATATACAAAAAAACAACAAAGGAACGACTTTCTTAATACAGCGATAAACTGCAGAAGAGCTCAAAAATGATTAACAGCCTGTCCTTTATCTCAGAACCATTACAGGAGTGGAAGAACAATCGTCACATGTTTTCAGGAGTATCAAATATGAAAGCATCATTGACAAAGGACATGGGGTGAAAACAGTAAAACTGGACTGAAAAACATAAAAAGAGTGATCCTACACTGAGCTTACTGCTCAACACGAACGAGAATATTGTTCCAAGAAAAGATTTTGGGCAGAGAAAAAATCATAAAGAAAAAAAAAATTTGGCAGTACAAACAGGAGTGTTAACATTCTTCCTTAACAACCATGATAAAAATGTACACACAGGATACCCTTAACACTTTAGCATCATGAACTCAACCTACACAAATTTCAAACACGGAATAAGTACACAGCAGCGGTTGAGGAAAGCATGATCACAAGTTGGAAACTCTCAAAGACATCAGGGGGAGACCACAAAATATTCCCCACGCTGACCAAAAAAAATTCAAGGCCCGGAACAGCCGCAGCTAGAAATGATGAGTAGTAATTTGAAATTAATGCCACTCACATCCATGGTTATTAACAAAAAAACACATTTCTATATTTGGAGTTTACCACAGTAGGCCTACATCCTAACTCGCTCGCTCCAATCAAGGCAAGACATCTTTTCTGAAGACGGGCCGAGATTTCATTTTACATGATACTGATGAAAACGGAGCAGGAGTTTGAGGTGATTCAGATTGATCAGATGTAGAATTTAGATCTAGAGTCCCACATAGGGCTGAGAGTGAGAGGTTAGACACCTGATTGAACTAAGAAAATTTTCAAAAATCTGTGCATATAAAGTCAGTTTTTAAAAGCTGCACTCATTTCTCTTTTTTCCTTTTATATATAGATGTGATGTGTTAAATAAACTGATTTTTCCTTCTGGCAAAAGATATTTTTGGCCTGTCCTTTACCTCAGAACAAAACAGAACACTCATGATTTACACTCAGAAGTAGCAAATATGTAAACATCATTGATAAAGGACGAGGCTCAAACAAAAGACCTTATTCTTGGGGTTTAAAAAGAAACCAACCGAAATTGCATAAATTTGAGGGTGCTACGTTGTTTGTAAACCAACTGCTTGACTTTACAAATGGGTAGTACATTCCTCAAATGAAACACTAAAACTTTTAATCAATTACTTCTCACACCTTTCACAGTTGTTAAACTAAAGGCTAAACAATATGCTACACTTGAAAACAAAATAAACTATCGATCCCTCTTTAAGTAATATTCTGCAACCATACAAACAACTTCCATCCGAAAAGAATAACCATGAAACCCACACCTCTTTTTATCTTGACTCCCCCCCCCCCCCCCC